CAACTATTAAAGTCAGAAAGGCATTTATTTGTTACTATTAACAAAAGCTTCAAAGAAAAGCAAAATTCTGGCAGTGCCCGTAGCTCAGTAGGTAGGATGCCGGCCATATACACCAAGGCTGTCAGGTTCGGCCTGGGCCAGCTAAAACAACAATGACAACTGGAATAAAAAAATAGCCAAGCGTTGTGATGGGCACCTGTAGTCCCAGCTACTTGGGAAGCTGTGGGAAGAGAATTGCTTAAGCCCAAGAATTTGAGGTTGCTGGTGAGCTGACATCACAGCACTCTACCCAGGGTGACAGCTTGCAACTCTGTCTCAAAAAAAATAAATGCTGAATTTTTGTCACTGTAAAAAGGAGGGGAAGATTAATTGATCCTTCCAGTTCCACAGTGTCTTCCAACCCCACCGTATCACAGAAGCAGTGATACTCAGTACTGAAACTTTGAAGATCTTACTGTGTGCTAGGTTTGCTGTAGGAAGTTCTTTCAGAAACAGAACCAGCTCCCAATCACTGGACCTGAGTCTTCACTTTGTCACCCTTGGTAGAGTGCCGTGGTGTCACGGCACACAGCAACCTCCAGCTCTTGGGCTTAGGCGATTCTCTTGCCTCAGCCTCCCAAGTAGCTGGGACTATGGGCACCTGCCACAATGCCTGGCTATTTTTTTGTTGCAGTGTGGTCTGGGCTGGGTTCGAACCCTCCACCCTCAGTATATGGGGCTGGCGCCCTACCCACTGAGCCACAAGCACCGACCTATACTGTATTCTTAATAGTTTTGAAATGTACCATTGCATTATGCACATTAGGTGAGCCCCCGCCCCCCAGTACCCTCCCTCCTCCTTTCTCTTTGTTTTGTTTTGGGTCCGGGCTAGGTTTGAACCCACCACCTCTGGTATATGGAGCCAGCACCCTATTCCTTGAGCCACAGGCGTCACCCCCCTCCATTCTGGACTGTAGTTATGTTTTACCATTCCTATGAATGTGTATTAAATCTTTTTCAGAAGAGAGCCTGTGGCATTGGAGGCACAACCTGCTCTCTCCCTCCTGAGGGCATCTATCCTCTCTCTACACATGGAAGGGAGGCTCCAAGTAGGCAGATGCAGCCGAGAACACAGGAATCCTTTTCCCCTTAGCTCCCAGGCAAGGGATGTGGTATCTCTCCTGGAGGAGTGATCACCACCATCTCATTCCTCTATTCTGTGTTTCCAAAGCTCTGTACCAGCTAGAGTGGCCATTTGTAGTGTATTGATTCTTCTGCAGGCACAGTAGGCCAAGAACATTGGGAACTAGTCATACCTGCCCTAGCTTGATTATAGGTGAAAATTCCATGCTGAGAGGGGCAAGCTGAGGTGACAAGAAGCCACTGCCCCTTGTTCTGCTGAAAAACACCGCCAAATATGGTTCTAAATACAGCTATTGTAAGGTGACAAAACTCTTGAAATTCATTACTAATTACAACAAATACTTGTTCCAAACCTAATAACCAGGGCTTTTTTTTTTTTTTTTTT